TGGCCCGGCACTAATAGGTCGGTACTGCCGAGCGGGTCGGCACATGCACTTTTCAATAATTTCCATACTTAGCTCAAATTTTCAACACCTTACCAAATTTTCAATCAAATCTCGACCTCGAAACCCGTTTTCACCCTCGAAAATCATGCGTGTCGTGCGGCTCGTGGAGCTATTTATTCTCGAACAAAACGAAAAACAGGAAAACACAAAAACCGTGGGTTGCCTCCCACGAAGCGCTCATTTTACGTCTTGAGCTCGACGTTCCCAACGAAAACCAACCGGGATCCAAGAAAAAATGTCTATCATGCCACGCCTTCGTATTTTTCAATAGTAGATGAGTCGGTAGCACCGAACAAAGGCGGGTCAAATAAAATCTCGTGGCCAAATTCTTGTGAAATCGAGCACGGATATCAACAACCACCAATAGGAGAGATGAATCTTTACGAACCAAGGCCCCATACTCGACCTCCAAAAATATAAAAATATCCGTGGAGCACATCGAATCAATCCTGGGTATCGTTTGCACTATCTCGAACGTGTAATCATCAAGATCAAGCATCGGGAGCACTGGCGTAGGCGCACTAAACTCCTCCAAATGGTCACGATCCTCAATAATACGAAACGACGACCCAAAGGACATAGGAACCACGTCATACTCAACATCACAAGTCGACCCATCAATCAAAGCACACATCGAGTCCACGACATCACATAATAGCTCGGAATCCTCCTCAACAAAAAACGCATTGGTCAGGTAGCTTATCGTGTAGAGCTACCGGAAAGTTTGCAGATCCACCCGGTTATACATGTTTCACAGCTCAAAAGAAGTCTGGGAGAAGCACAGAAGTATTGTGAGGAGTTACCAGCAACTGCAACCAATGGAAGGGCCATAGTACGTCCAAGACGAGCAATTGAGTACCAAAAGGTAAAGAGAGCAGGGCGTTACCGTTGGGAAGTGCTAGTTGACTGGTAAGAGTTGCCATCTGAAGAAGCCACGTGGGAAGATCTTGAAGAGATGCGCGATCAGTTTCCGAACTTCATCCTTGAGGACAAGGATTCACTTGAAGGGGACGAGAATGATGCGGAAGTGGCTAGGCAACTCAAGAACGCTGCGAGCCGGGCATATCATGCGCGCAAGAGGGCGGCCCGAGAGACGGCGGAAGTACGCGCACTGGAG